GACTTATGTAAACTTATTTAACTTATTCTTAGCACTTTAAACATGTATATAGTTTTAACCTTAAATAACTTTTAAAAAGTGTGTTTAACATTTAGTTTATTTTTATATAGACTAAGTAGCATTTTAGCTTTCTAAAGAGCTGTAATACTATTTATATATCTTATAATATATATACCTCTAATTCTATCTAACAGGACTGTTTAACCTAGCTACTATACTGCCACTATAGGGACAAACCACGATCTAGTCGCTCTACCTGCTCCATTAGCCTAATAGCCCTTACGCAGGACTGTACACCCTGCCGTCGGCCCCTACCCTCCGTCCTACCCCACAAGGAATAACATCGACCCGCGTGCTTCCATAAGCAAGGATTGTAACAAAGAAGTAGAAAAAATTAAAACCTCTTTCTAGCTACTACTTATAGTGTAATTTTATCTACTAGGTTGTTACTTTTATTATTATTATCTTTCTTAGTATTAGGCTAATAGTAGCCTAGTGCTAGCTTTAGTTATTAAACTACTAATTATTTTACTAGCTGTATAGTTACAATACACTTAATAACTGCTAGAAGCTAGGGGCAGTTCTATACCTAGTAAGCTACTAAGCTACATTGTACACATCTCTCTGCCTTCCTCTATTGTGCGCGCTAGAGAGGAGAGACTAACCTAGCTCTAGTGCTAGCACTAAATGTAGCTACAGCAACATTAATTATATTAATGCTAATAGTGTTAATGCTACTAAAGTCTATTTTATTAAGTTTAAGTTAGGTATATAAAGCATATAAATATATATTTAATTATAAAGCTAAGCACTATATAGCTTATAAAAATGCTACATAGTTATTTTATAGTATTAATTAGCAATCTAGTATATACTAAATTAAGGCATTAAGACTTTAGCAAAATGTTATAATTTTAATAGTAGTAGGCTAATCTTTACTTTTAGCTTTATATAAGATCTACTTAAATTAAGTAATATAAGCTAGTAAAAGCTTACTTTTATTTTACTATAGATTATATAAAGCTTACTAAGCTTTATAAATTTTATTAAAATTAGTGTATACTTATTATAGCTACTATAAAATTATTTTATAGTTTTATTAACTTTATTTTTAGCATTTAATAGTAGTAGTAGTATAGTAGCTTATACTATAAGCTTTAAGTTATTTTATATAAAGTAAAATTAGCTATGTTATTTTTAATTATATTACTATTTACTACTATTTTAGCTTTAATAGTTGGTAACTAGGTTTTAAATTTATATAGCTTACTATTAAATTTAGTTAGTGTTGAATAGGCTCTTTTAGCTAGCTGCTTATAGTATAAGCACTTAAGTAGCAAGAGTAAGAGTAGTGTACAGTGTGCACAGCGTACGAAGTAGGTAGGGTAGAGGCAACATGGTTCTGGTTCTATTGCTCTTGTCTTTTCCTCTATACAGAGAAAAAGGGGAATATCTAGATGTTTACGCACAGAGGTTCGCGCACAAGCATTATGTAACATAGTTACATAGTTCTTCTTATGCGCAATAACTATCTAGACTGTAACACTATTACTATGTACAAACACTAGCAACTTTCTGTTTTTATCTAAAAAGTTGCTTTCTATACTAGTTACCTCTCTTCTATTTATGCAGGATTTTATAATAAAATAGTGTAAGATCTTTGCATAGAAAGGTGCATATAATAGAAAAAAATAAAAGAAAATAAGCTTTATATAAAAGTGTTGTTAGTCTAGTTAGTCTAAAGCATTTTTGCGCATAGAATCTAGCTAGTCTATAGATGCTTCTATTTAGACAGAGAGGCAATTAGTTAAGACTAATAGTTAAAAAGCTTAATTTAGTGTTTTCTTTATACATGCATTTATAAAGTTGTTTTTACTATTAATCTACTTAATCTTTATAATCTTTCTTTTTTTATATAATTTATAGAGTAACATAATGTTAATTATAAGTTATTTTTTACTAGTAGTGCCTAGCTTAATAAGGTAATTATATAGAAACCTTAAATCTATGTAGATTACTACTAGAAGTAGTAGTAGTTTAAGTGTTTATATAATCTACTATAAAGTTATACTAAGTGTAATTACATTATTAAACTCTTTAACTATTTTATATAGTTTACTAGTAAAGACACTTCTAGTTACTCTTTTACACTTAGTAGAATTCTAGTGTATAATATTACCTAGTATTTTAAAGTAGTTGCTTTGCTCTATATAGTCTTTATTACCTAATATAATTAAGAATTCTAGCTATAAGCTAATGTTCTTATTATTAGCAAATAATTTATTTATAAAAATAAACAGCTTTATGCAGTCTAGTTGCAGTAGCATAAAAGTAAGTCCTTTGCTGCTGTTGTCTATCTGCTACTAGATGCGTACATTAAGGGCTTTAATGTCTTTGTGCGAAGGATCTGTAGTTTAGGCAGCAACTAAGAGATTAAATGCTGCCTCTAGTTAACACACTAAGGTAATATATGCTCCTCTAGCTCTTTATACAACATACTGTTGTATATATAGTACATATTCACATAACCTTTTAGAATATCTAGAAAGATGTCTGCGTACTAAGTTTCCTAGATATCTAGCTATTAACATTAATTAATAAAGATTCTTATTTTATCTATAAGAATGTTATATAGTTAACCTATATAGTTATTATTCTTTTTTATGCCTTTTAAAATTATATAATCTTGTCTACTAGAAGTTTTTCTTTAGCAGTTTCCCTTTAGAGTGGAAGTTTATATAGGTTGCAATGTAGTAGAGATTGTACAGGTAGTATTAGTAGTGCATACACTATAGCAGGCAGTAGTGTGTACAATTAGGGGTGTAGAGCAGGCGTTAGATAGGGTGGCATGTATTGTTTATACAGTAATTAGTGTAGTGCTAGCTAAGGTGTAAGAGTAGGTAATACTAGTACATTTAGTGTTATTAGTAGCATTATCTGTGTAAAGCCTTATATAGTAATAAAAGTTATATATAAAGCCTTTTAAGTGTAATTACTTTTTTTATGCTATATTATATAGCTTTTAGGGTTAAGTACCTTTATTACTTAGCTATAGTGTAATTTTTTTATCTTTTAGTACTTATATAAGCTCTCTTTTAAATGTGCAGCTAAGGGCTAAAAAGTTTTATAGTATTTATTTTTTAAAATTTTTTATATATAAACTTAAAAAGGTAGCGCTTTTTTAAGTTATTATGTGTAAATTAGTAATTATATAACTTACATATAATTAGATTTATAAGCTTATTAAAGCTTCTAACATGTTAATTTTATTATTCTAGTACTTTAGGCTAGTCTTATTTTATAGTGTTACCTCTAATATCTCTATATTCTTTATAAGTTATTTATGTAATAAAATTTTTTTTATTACATAGAGTTATTAGTTGCTAGTAGAATTTTATTATAATAGTAACGTACTTTATAAGCGAGTTGCCTACACACCTGAGTTGCTTACTTTTGCTAAGACTCTACCCTAACAAACTCTATTATAGCCTATAACAACCTGCTCTAGCACTATATAGTATAGTACAGCCTAGAATATTATTTAAATACTACTTCTACTTCTTACTTATATATTTATGTGTTATGCTTAGTCTAATTACACTATCTGCAGCGCCTTTAGAATAGCTTACTTACTTTAGCTTACACCTGCTTTTTTACCTTCTTTTTATTACTATACACTTTAAACTTCTTTAAAGCTATTAAGCATAAGCTTTTTTAAATTATTTGTTGAATGGACTCTCTGCTAGCTAGCACTTAGTGTTAGCAAATGCGTACGAGACAGAGAGGTTTGCACGGTGTAAACATCGCACAGGGGTGTTAGGTAACTAGTGTTAATTGCTTCTTGTTGTTTCTATTGTACAAAGGAAAGGGGTTAATATAGTCCTAAACTCTGCGCACAGATCTCTGTGCACAGGGATCTAGGCGCATCTAAGCCACATAACTATTAACTAGGCGCCTAAATATTACTATTTAGACATTAGCAACTTTTTATTTTTTCTTTATACAGGACTTGCCTTATTTACACATACAGTAGACAGGTTACTATAGGGCCCTTTTTGCTTATTTTATACAGGCTTAAGTCTGTTAACTAACACTTTAACTTTAATAGTTAGTTAGTTATATAAAATTAGTTTTTTAAAAGTAGAGTTTAGCGCTTTTTTTATATAGGCATCTGTAGAGTTATTTTTTCTATTAATCTACCTAATTTTTATAATCTCTCTCTTCTTATATAATTCTTAAATTAATATAATATTAATTATAAGTCTTTTTTTATTTATTATTTTAAGCTTTATAAGACATTTATACAGAGATCTTAAATCTGTGCATAATACAATAGGTACAGGAGGTATTCTAAGCATACATGTAATCTAGTTAATAGTTGTACTTAGTGTAATTACGCAGTTAAATCCTCCTACTATTCTATACAGCTTACTAGCTAGGACAGAGCAGGTAACGTGTTTACACTTAGAGGAGTTCTAGTATACAATATTACCTATAATTTTAAAGTTATATAAGTTTTTAGTTTACTGCTTAGTCTTAAAAAAAATAAAAAAGCTAAGCTATAAACTTAAGTTTTTATTATTTATAAATAATTTATTAGTAAAGATAAACAACTTTATATAAAAAAGATTAAGTAGTACATATAATAATTCTTTATTCTAGTTATTAATTTACTATTAGATTTATATGTTTAATGCCTTAATATTATTATACAACAGTAACACAACTTAAGCAGCAGTAGACAGGTTAAATGCTGCCTTAGGTTAACATACTAATGCAATATAGGCACCTTGCGCGCGCTGTTTAACGTACTTCTGCGCGGCATCCTCTACCTTAGACTCTATTATGTGTAGATTCCTAGCTTAACTCTTTTATATAAAAATAATATTATTTTATATAAGGTAAATCTTTTCTTTATTAAATTTAATAGCTTAATTATGTAATAGTATAGTTTTAAGCTTTACTTAAAAGTTAGCTTTAAGCAATTTTTTTTTCTTTTTTTATGCAAAATTAGCTGTAATAATACTAAGAGTATTATCTGTTTGCAGTCCTATAATACTAAACACTGTTAAGCCTTTATATGTAATTAATAAGCATAGATTATATAATAAGGTTTTTATAAAAAGTTTATTCTTATAATAGTTATAGTATGTTTTAAACTAATATAAGCCTAACTTTGCTGCGCTGTATAGTAGTTATACAACTCTAAATATTATGTGTAGAGGGAAGCTTTTATAGAGTTCTCTTAGTAGTTATGTAAAAAGAGTGTAAATAAGCTTATCTATTAATTATATATATGCCTAAGTAATATTGCGTAGTTTATAGTGCATGTTGTACAAAGCTATTAGTAATAGGCTAATAGCTAGAATTAACCTCTAACTTATTTTCTAAATTATAAGAGACTATGTAAAGATCTCCTTTTTCTTTTTATTTAAATATCTTATAAACACAAGTTATAACTTTTTATATAGTTTTATTAATTTCTCTTTAACTTTATATATAAGTTAAAGGTTAAAGATCTGTCTCTTATAAATTAATAAATTATATAAAAGTACCTTAAACATGCTACTTATAATTAGACTTTTTATTTCTGTATAGTCTAATTTTTTAAATAGTCTTCTAGGTGTTGTAATTACACTATCTGCACAGAGCTTAATTGCTAGCGCGTAGTCTTCTTTTTTCTTTTAAGTTAAAAATGTTGTAGCCTGTAGATTTTTACATAGTCTTCTTTAGCTTTTCTTAGCTAGCTGTAGTTTTAGTTTTAGTTTATATAATAAATCTAATGCTACTTAAGAGGCTGTTTTGTGTAGTCTATTAACTAAAGTTAGTTGCTTGTGTAGGCAACCTCTCTTTTATGCCTATAAAGGATCCCTTTATACTAGGGCTAGTTTGTCTAGATCTAGCAATTCTTGTGCAGGTTTATTCTTATCTTTTATATAATAATATAGCATAACTTGTGTGTAGTAAAGTCTTACTAGACTATTCTTTATTTTAATAATAACATCTAGGGCTTTAATTCTCTTTACTATGTGTAGTCTTATCTATCCTTTTTTTTTTTACTATGTCTTTACTTTAGAACTAAGTAGAAGATTTAGTACTTTATATAAAGTTAAGCTATTTTAGGTATTAATTATATAATTAATATTAACTTTTGCCTTTTTACTTTAAAGCATTTTTATTGCCTTTTGTACAGCGTTAGCTTACATAATAATATTAGAGGATAGTGCAAAATCTATGTTAATTCTTAGGTACATTCTAAACATAAGTAATGTAGGTATAAGACTATTTAGTTTTACTATATTATTTAGGGCTTTAACAGCTATTTATAATACTAACTTATTATTTATATAATTATCTAATTCTGCATAGAGGATATTATACACACATTGTAGTGGTGCGTGCGCGCGCTTAATCTTCCCTAGAGCCTAATAGGCCTCTACTAGCATTTGTTAACACATTGCTCCTACAATCTTTGCGTAATTCTAGAAGTCTTTAGATGCAAAGTTTATACTAGAGTTATGTACAATGTAATTAAGTAAGCCTTAGTATGTGTTAATCTAACACTTATAGAGCGCGTCCTAGGTATCTTATATAAACATTAATTTTAAAAAGGTTGCTACTTAGAACAATATATCTATATTAATTACATGTAGTATGTCTTAGTTACTAATTTATACAACATTAATTACTATTTTATAGTTAAAGTGTAAGTTGTTCTTAATTATAAACTTAAATCTTTATAGTGCTAGGTTATATAGCTAACACATGTAGCAAAACTTTTTAATCTTCTTAAGTATAAAAAGATTAACATTATGTCTAGTGTTTTTAAGCATTATGTAAAGTTATTTTATATAAAGATAGCTAAATCTTCTATGTAGTTGTTAAAGTTTATGTTTAGTAAAAAAAAACATTAATTTCTTTTTTTATACATTAAAAAATAGATAACCTTATTTTTATATAACTAGGATAGTATTTTTATTGCTTTGTATAATTACATTTTACATGTTATTAAAGTACGCACCTATTTAGTCTGCGTCTGCTAGAGATAGTGTGAGAGGTATCGAGCAGGAAACACAGGTCACAGAGAGGGAATGCAGGATAGGGGGGGTAACGAGAGTAAACCTTAGGGTCGGAGGCAGAGGTACGGAGGCCGAGGAGCCTATATACCCCGTGCCAAGCCTAGGGTACTCAGGGGTTGGATAGCTGTAACATAACCGTGACATAGCCTCCCCTCTTCTTAGGGCTCGTCCCGAGACCTAGAAAAGGATAGGTAGTGTCAAATTCTATGTACAAAAGTAGCGTGACTAGCCTCATTAAAAACCTAGTAGGAAAAAAGAGTACATAGTCAGCCACAAAGCTAGGAAGATTTAAATCGAACGCTAGCCAAGTAGTAGAAGCTTGTACCGGCCATAGGCGGACCTGCGGTGGTGACCGTACGGGTCACGCCTGGGCAGTACCCATCCCTGGTGACTGAACTCCGGAAAACCTCAGTGAGGAAAAACCATGTCAGGAGAAGTGCAACCAGGTGCTTCAGAACGCTATTGCTAGCGTCGTCCGTACACGAAAAGCTTAAGGGGAGTTGCTATTCGCTAGGAGCATTGCCATGCTGGTAGTCAGGTGCGAGCGTGGGTGACAGCTCCCCAAGCTGTACGCGTGTTTCCCCACCTCTCTGGCATACCATATTAGGCATAGAATGTCAACCGTAGTTGACGGAGAGCTATCGCATGGATAGCAGGACGCTAGGCGTACTCAGCTCGTACGGCACGTGCTCGGTAAGCGCATGGAGCTAGACAGCCTTGCAGTGGCAAGCCCAAATTTGACATC